ACGAAAATGGCTTCCTCTGCGGGAATCCAGACTCGCCGAGCTCGAAACTCCAGGGCAGACGAATTACAACTCCAGGCGGGCAGGTCACGCGAATAATTTTCGAGGTCAGTACTCCCCGAAACTCTTCCGTGCCTGAGCCCCACGTGTGCTGCCGTGCGATCCTTGGTCGTGCAAAAAACTCCAATGCCGCGTTTGCTGAACAGTTCCGAAGTCCCGTCTTCACCTGCGTGTCGCTTGCCGGAAATGCCGAGCCCTTGACATCAGCTACATTTCACCATGCAGCCACGTCTGCTACACGCGCTCCTGACGAAACTCCATTTCGCCTGGGGATTTCCGCTAGCTTATCGTCTCGTGACGAGCTCCTCGCTCCATTCGGACACCAATCCGAATCGTCGTTGCTGCTTGCCGAAAATTCCGAAACTGCAACCGAAGCCCCTTTAACGATATGCGAAAATAAACAACATACCAGAAACACTCTTCAAAACCTTTGCCATGTCAGGATGGACACAATCGCCCTCGAAGGGATGGCCGAGCAAATCCTGCTCGTCCCTTGGGGTCGGATCGACGGTCTTCAGAAGCCCACGCGAACGCAGTAGTTGAAGCATATCATATTATGCTTCAGGACCAACCGCCGTGCCTTCTGTAGCGCCATCCGCCTTCTGCCCCCCCCAAAAAAAAAAAAAAAAAAATTTGCCCTCGGAAGCCCAGCGGGTGAGGAAAGTGGCTCTGAATACCAAGTGTTATGAATGGGACTGCCGAGTAGCGCGGAGGGCAATGGCGAAACTGTGAACGAGTGAATGACAATAAAATGAAAGAACACACAATATATAGAAAGCCTAGGGTGATCTTGGACGTAGGATCTGAAGGTTCGGGAAAGGTATCGAAGGGCCTCGATGTGTCGTAGCGAGGTCCGGAAAGGCCCAGGAGGCTCGAACTGGAAGGTCTGGAACCCTGGCGATGGTTCGGGACTGTTCGAGTCGTACGCCCTGTAGCAAGCCTCAGTAAGACATTACGCAATCCTTACAAAACCGCTCTTCTCCGTTAAGGGAGGGATTCGGGCGAAACCTGCCCCCTAAATCCCAAGTGACCCGTCTGGGTACTTAGCAAACGCGCCACACCCTGATTGGATGCTGGAGCTTCCCCAACCAAGCCTCTTTGACTCAAACTCCTTTCACCCAACCAAGCCTCTCTGAACCAATCTTATTTCCCCCAACCAAGCCTCTCGGAACCAAACTCATTTCCCCCAACCGAGCCTCTCAGCCAAACTCGTTCCCCCCAATCACGAGCCTGTCAGCCAAACTCGCCCCCCCCAACCAAGCCTCTCTCAGCCAAGCTCGTTTCTCCAAAGAGGTTTGGTTGGGGAAAACGTGTTTTCTTGGACCACGCCTCTTCATTTAGGTGGGGCATTTGTTACCTGTGGGTAGGGCGTCTTCTTGTAGTCGGCAATAAATTGGTGAAGTGGTGGTTGCAGTTGTAATCAATCGTTTGGGGTTTCCTTTTTAGCACAATTCGGCTTATAATAACATCCAAGCACTAGTAGATGAAATTTGTAAGGAATTAGGAATTCCTTACTGAGGCTTGCTACAAGGCGTACGACTCGAACAGTCCCGAACCATCGCCAGGGTTCCAGACCTTTCATTTCGATCCTCCTGGGCCTTTCCGGACCTCGCTACGACACATCGAGGCCCTTCGACACTTTTCCCGAACCTTCCGATCCTACGTCCAGGATCACCCTAGGCTTTCTATATATTGTATTGTCTTTCATTTTATTGTCATTCACAGTTTCGCCATTGCCCTCCGCGCTACTCGGCAGTCCCATTCATAACACTTGGTATTCAGAGCCACTTTCCTCACCCGCCGGGCTTCTGAGGGCAATTTTTTTTGGGAGGCGGAGAAGGCGGATGGCGCTACAGCAGGCACAGCGGTTGTCCTGAAGCATGATATGATATGCTTCAACAACTGCGTCTGCGTGGGCTTCTAACGACCGTCGATCCTACCCCAAGGGACGAACAGGATTCGCTCGGCCATCCCCTCGATGGCGGTTGTGTCCGTCCTGACATGGCGAAGTTTTTGAAGAGTGTTTCCGGTATGCTGTTCATTTCGCATATCGTTAAAGGAGTTTCGGTTGCAGTCTCGGCAATTTCGGCAAGCAGCAACGACGATTCGGATTGGTTTCCGAATGGAGTGAAGAGCTCGTCACGAGACGACAAGCTCGCGGATATCCCCAGGCGAAATGGATTTCGTCAGGAGCGCGTGTAGCAGACGTGGCTGCATGGTGAAGTGTAGCTGACGTTACGAGGCTCGGCGTTTCCGGCAGGCGACACGCAGGTGAAGACGGGACTTCGGAACTGTTCAGCGAACGCGGCGTTGGAGTTTTCGGCACGACCAAGGATCGCACAAACAGCACACGTGGGGCTCAGGCACGGAAAAGTTTCGGGGAGTACTGACCTCGAAATTTATTCGCGTGACCTGCCCGCCTGGAGGTGTAATTCGTCTGCCCTGGAGTTTCGAGCTCGGCGAGTCTGGATTCCTGCAGAGGAAGCCATTTTCGTGGTCAGAAAGTTTACCCCACGATCTACGGAGGACGACCAGCAACTACCCTCGGGTCGAGTTTAAGTGTCTTCCGCCGGGTCACCGCTAAAAGTCAACGACGAAAAGCTGATGCAGAGAAGGAGAACGACTGGGTAACAGCCGGGAAAAATATTAAGAGTCAGCCGCAAACGGATTCCCGATTGACTAGGCTGGGTCGCCTGATCTTCAACATCTCCACCGGGTGGTAGTACGATACATGCTATCGACCGCTCTCGAACGAATAAGGGAGGATGAGCCAGCGGATCACCCTGTGCTGGTGGATCGATGAAGAAAACTTTTCGGCGCTACACGACAGGTGCACGATTGGTGAAAATCGGGCGCTCTACAGTGGGAGGCGGGAGAAGCGGATTGACGAAAATAACGAAGGATTTTTGCGACAGCGATCGGACGGTACGCGGAGCACGATTCCGATACGAACGGCGAGGATGTATCGTCGAGAACGACGGAGCTGCGAGTTTTTCGAAAGAACGTTGCGTTACTGTGCGGATACAGTTCACGACGGTTGGAGTTCGTAATTGTCGGCGAAGGATTCGCTGGAGACAAGGAAACTGTGGTGCGGTAGTATCCCTACTGCCCGTTTGGTTATCTGGGTAATTCGACCCAACTTCGACGGCTACGATCAACGGCGATCGTTTCGACGTGTTTCGACCGTTGGATTGAGTTTCCTTGAAGAAGCTCGACATTCTCAACAGTGGTGGCTTCACTACTACGAGATTCAGTTAGAGTGTGTGAGATTCACTATCTTGAAGGGGGGAGAGTGTAAGGAATTAGGAATTCCTTACTGAGGCTTGCTACAAGTTGTACGACTCGAACAGTCCCGAACCATCGCCAGGGTTCCAGACCTTTCATTTCGAGCCTCCTGGGCCTTTCCGGACCTCGCTACGACACATCGAGGCCCTTCGACACTTTTCCCGAACCTTCCGATCCTACGTCCAGGATCACCCTAGGCTTTCTATATATTGTATTGTCTTTCATTTTATTGTCATTCACTCGTTCACAGTTTCGCCATTGCCCTCCGCGCTACTCGGCAGTCCCATTCATAACAAAATTGGTGGAAGGAAAAGTTCAGTGCACTAAAAAAAGGTGAACGAAACCCTGAAACCCTGCACATGCCAAGAAACCCCCAAAACTGCCCTGAAAAGACATTCAACATTTTTGGGGTTACCCAGCCTGGACGAGTTGGTTGCGCGACTAACTTGGATTCTGCAGGGGGCCCTTTGGGGACATCGAGAGCAGGGGACATCGAGAGCAGGGGGCCCTTAGGGTTTTCGTCCACACGGCAGATTCGGGTATCTCTCTCGCGGGACCCGGATAAAATGGGTCTATCCGGAACGCTACCCGTCAATGTCCGGGTTCAGTCCAGGAAATTTTCCCGTGATGACAAACGCTCTTACGAAAAGTTTCTGGATTCTACAAAGGGAACCAGGTAAGAGTACTGCCCTCAGCTCTTATACTTCTACTTCTTGAACTTCCTTGCTAGGGCTGATGGGCCCTGGGGGGATGGAATGGAAGGGGGATCTGTGGGGTGGTGTGAAAAGTTTTAGTATCCGTGTTTCTCAAAACCGAACATGTCACTTCACGTGTTCTGGTCAAAATGCACCCGTCAAATCAGGGTTCATGAAAATAGAACACGTCGCAATCCGATTTTGGTCGAAAACTCACCCGTTATTTGGTCAAAATCCGGGTAAAAAATAGGCCCTGATCGAGAGGCCTGCCTAGCACATGTCCTTTATTCGATTTGTCGCCCTTTTACCCTTCGCATCGCATCCCGCGTGTGCCCAGAAGATTCAACTCATGGGGTGGTGGAATCCGATCTGGGCCAGTCCCACACGCCTCTCTTCGCGGACAGGGTTACATCAGCTGGCAAGAACAATCCGACTCAGCAGTTATTTGTCTGGTGTGAATTCTTGATAAGTCAATGTGAGATCCCAAGGAACACGTCCCCACCTTCCCTGCCCGGTGCACATGGTGCAGTGGGGACTTGAATCTCACAGCAAGTACACGTAGCCACCAAAGTAACAACGTAAAACTATTGGCCGCCGTGTAGTCTATCAATATCCTTATAAACTGTACTTCACCCTGCCATTCTGGCGAAAATGTTTTGTACTGCATTCAGTCGGTACCTTTCCAAAACCATTAACAGGCATGAGGGGAGGGGCTGTGTGTTTCTGGCAGAACCAAGATCCTGCCTGTCTCCAGGCAAGAGTCCCTAACCTGCACAGTACAGTTGCATCTAGTGACTCATTTTTCTTTTACATCCCTCTGGAATGAAGCCTTACCCCCTCACCCTGCCAGATGGCGGGCGAGAAAAACCAAACCCACCAACCAACCGACTGGTGAAGGCTGGGTTGCACCACCAGATAAAGCCGTGGGTCTCTCCAGGACCAGAGTCATCACGGCGAGTGTCTTTTTCTGAACATATCCACTCTCTATTATTAGACGCGACACCCGAAATCTAGTAGGAAAAAGAGCTCCTGCGAAATGGCGGGAAGATGTCCACTAGTGGTAGCAGTGTCGTTGGTTCTCGTCATCATTCCGCTCGTTCCGCTGGTCCGTAGTTCCGTGCCACGTCACGACGATCATGTCACGTGGGAGCCCTCGCAGTTCGAGATCTCCATGCGAAAGACGCTGGAGATGCCCGAGGAGGAGAGGCGGCAGCACGCGAAGCGCATTCTGGAAGCCGCTGGCGTCACGGAACGCGGCGAGTCCGAAGGCGCCGTTGAGGAGCGAGGCGAGCGGCGGCTGGTCGACACGGGAGTGAAGCTGGGTCTGGCGGCGCCGCCGCTGAGCTCGGGGCCGAGCATGGCGGTGGTGAACATGTCGTTCTACCGCTGGGAGAGCGTCGCGCCGCCGCCCGTCGTCGACTGGCGCAAGACCCTCGCCATCACGCCCATCCAGACGCAATACGTGGTGCGACTCCCGCTCGGTCCATCGTCGTCCTTCTGAAGATGATGCTGAAAAGCGGTTGTTATTGCTAGCCGCGCCGCGGTTTTCGACTCAATGTCGGTTTCAAGAATCGTATTCTTCATCAAATCTAGGCTTCTTCAGCCCATCGTTCCGACTCGCATTGCTCAAGCTGCTGGGTGAATGTCGGACGTCGGATTTGGACGGCGTGCTCGTCTCTGACTTGGTTATTGGTGTGGCTTTGCCTCCCCCTCCCCCCTTCCTCCCTCCGCATCATCTTTCTCAGTGCTCAAGCTGCTGGGCGATCGCAGCCGTCGATTCCATCGCCATGATGTGGGCGATCGCCAACAACGGCATCGGAATAAACCTGGCGCCGCAGCAGGTGTGCGACTGTGCGACGAAGCAGTGCTGCCAGGGCGGCTGGCCCGAGTGGGCCTTCTCGTACGTGCTCTTCAACGGCGGGGTCACTTCCAACAGCAACTACCCCTACCGGGCGTACGATTCCGCCACGTGTCTCTTGGACACATCCATGCCGTCCATGGCGCAAATCACGGGGTGGGAGCTGGTGCCGGCAAACAACCGCTTGGCGCTCATGAAGGCCGTCAGCATGCAGCCCGTCGTCGCCTTCATCAGCGCCGCCACCTCCGGCGACTTCTCGGTACGGGTTGTAGGCGCTGGGTAGCGCACCACGTCGGTCCTTGCCGCTAGCTTTTTTTTCATTTCCTTTCTATTATTTTCTTCCCGTTTCCGTCATGTTTTGCCTCGCAGTCCCCCTAAAGTACCTCCCACATCAGATACTTGTCAGATGTTATATCAGATCATATTTATCTCTTGCTCGACAAACTAGAGATGTCCGGGAGCTTTGGGATGTCGCCACCAGTCACGCTGCTATCACAACGAACGATCCCTCCCTTTTCCTCCCCCTCCCTCCCCCGCGCCTCCCTTCTTCTATCAGACCTACAAGAGCGACAACGTGCTAAACATTTACGACGGCGGCTGCTCAACGGAGACCAACCACGCGGTGGTGGTCGTTGGATTCAACTACACGGGGCCGGATCTCAAGGGCAGCTATTGGATAATCAAGAACTCGTGGTACGCCACGTGGGGCGACCGCGGCTACATGTACCTCGCCATGGTACCCGACGTGCGCGGGAAATGCGGGCTCCTCTCGTAAGTGCTGCCTCCGCGCTTCCCCGCCCAAAATTTGCTGTCATCCAACGTCTGTCATTATGCTGGGACGGTCATCGTTGTAGGGTCTCTCGAAAGAACTTTCTCGCATCCGTTTCCTTCTCCTTCGCTCTGCGTATAACCTAATTCCCTCATTGATGCATGCCCTTTCCTCCCGGCCTTCGTCCCTCCGCTCCCGCGTTCCCCCGCAGAACCCCCGCCATGTACCCGGTCTACTTCCCATCGGGACAGCAGCCGGCGCGCTTCTCGTCCGACAAGCGCGGCAAGTGGAACATCAACAAAGTGGACGACCTCTCGTCGTCGCTCTTCGCCTCCACCCTCTCCACCTCCACCGCCATCTCCGACATCACCGCGAGCACGTCTACCTCAACCTCTACCACCATTAGCGGCTCAAGTGACTTCGCCATTGCCGCTATTTCCGATACCTCGATTTCCGGCTCTTCCTCGCTGCTGGTCGGCTCCGATTCGACTGCCATCAAGACGACTACTACCACACAGAGTACCGCATGTGTGGGGATGATAAACCCCTGCGGCGGGGGCAGTTGCTACATGAGCGGTGACGTCCCCCGCTGCAACTGCAGCGGGCCTTCAAACATGGTTGAGGTGCTCGGAGCGCCCACGTCGAAATGCGTGCCGCGATATCCGTGCTCGAATTTCGCTGTGAATCCTTGCGCTGGCGGAACATGCACGGACGTTGGCGACGGGACGTACACGTGCGCGTGCTCCGCTGGTTACGCCATCGGTGCTGCAATAGACGGGTCGCCGACGTGCATGCCTGCAGCTGGTCTGGCGAAAGCCTATGTTACCCTGCCTGGCGACAATTGCACGACGGTCGCGACGGCTTTCAGCATTTTAACTTCCACCCTAACCGCCCTTAACCCGTTTATCAACTGCTCGGTTACAGAGTACCTCCCTCCTGGAATTGCACTCACTGTATCCGCAACCGTGACTTCCTTATCCTCATATTGCACCAGCTCTTACACCGTCCGACCTCCTGACACCTGCACTTCTATAGCGAATACCTACTTCGGCGGAAGTCTCACTTCCCTCTTGGCCAACAACCCTGGATTGTCATGCAAGCGCTTGTTCAAGTCCCAGCAAATCTGCCTTCAGATGGTTGCAGCAGCAGCTGCCCCCTCAGCTTCACAATGTGGGCAAAGCGTTGCCGTCGTCACGGGAGACACTTGCGCTTCAGTTGCTGTTAAATACGCAGTTGACATCAATGCATTTCTGTCGTAAGTATTCCTATGTTCCTCTTACAGTAAATTCCTCCTCGCCCCAATTCCCCCACTTATCTCCCTCACCTATACCACTGTTTCCCTATAAAAGCCCCCTCCATACCCCTCGTTCATTCCATTGAATCACGCTGTAATCACTCTCTTGCTCCTGTGCAGACTCAACCCAGGGATCAACTGCAACGTCAATCTTGTTGTGGGCACTTACGTGTGTGTGGTGTCAAAATCACCCATTGTAAGCAAGCCCGAACCCGCTTCACGACAATCAAGTGTCTTCTTCCTCTTCAATCCTCATTTCTTGTCTCGTCCATCTCCTCAACATGCATGGATGTATCTTCTACCCCCTCGCTTTGCCCTCGGTCGTGTCCCCCCTGCTTCCCCCAGACGACCGTGAACTGCACTCGCTGATTTCAATCCACCACCGCATCTGTGCTTCTCCTTCTCCTCTCGTCTGTCTTCCCCCCCCTACAACCCCATGCCAGACGACCATCAACTGCACTGGGTGGTACCGTGTGATGCAGGGCGACACATGCCCCTCCATCTGGAATGCAGCCAACCTCACCATGTCCATGTTCCTCGCCATCAACCCTGGCATCCAGGTGAATGCCTCCTCCCCCCCTGTCAAGCCATCAACCCTGGCATTCAGGTAAGCACATGGTACTGCATCCCTTTACCACCCCACATACCACCCCTTGCCACCATGCCCCATGGTCCTCGCCATCAATCTCGGTGTCCCGGTAAAGGGCTCCCTCTCCCCTCTTAGGCCATCAACCCCGGCATCCAGGTAACCTTTTAGAACCTCAGGTACCGCCGTTACAGCCCCCCTGTATCACCCCACACCACCATGTCCATGTTGCTCGCCATCAACCCCGGCATTCAGGTGAATGCCTCCCCCCCCCCGCAAGCCATCAAAACCGGCATCCAGGTAAATCTCCCCTCAACCTCCGCATTCGGAGCTTCACATAATGGTATGTTACATAATCTTTGAATTTTACTCTTTCGCATGCCCATTTTTCTTCATGTCAAGCATGCTCTTTTGTATCGGTTGTATGTGTGCTTTGAGTAGTGTCATCTTGATTGTTTCATTCCCTTCCTCTTCTTCCTCTGGTGCCAGGCTTCCCCACCTTGTTCTGCACCGTCAATTCCAGCATGGTTTGTAACACTTTTTCTTCATCGTTTATATCCCTTCCAGTGCCAGGCTCCCTACTTCACCGTCGGCCAGCAGGTCTGCATCAACTCACCCATCCTCGCCACCATGCAAGGAGCTCCCAACGTCTCCTACTACATTCACACCGTGCGGGACAACGAAACTGCCCTCACTCTCGTCTCCGCCGTCTACTATCCCCGCTGCACACCCCTCTCCATTTCTCCTGAGTCGATCGCCGCTCAAAATTTCATCGCCAACTTGTCCACTCCTCTTGCTGTGGGCACGAAGCTGACCATCCCCTGTATTGGCCGCATCGGTATCATCGACAGTGTCTGTGCCACATCTCTCCCAATTTGTGGATCCGATTTTGTCACATACCCGTCGTATTGCGACGCGGGCGCCAACTATGCTCTTCCCCCTTTCCAGCAAGACGCATGCACCGGCTGCGGCCTTGCCTGCACCAACCGCATGGGATTGGGCCCCCGGACCGGTTACGGCTGCACCCAAGCTATCTGCCCATATCCGGCCTGGTTTTCCTCCGTTACGGACTGCACTTACCCAGGACTCAGCGTTGATGCTAGTCCGTGCTGCGCCAACAGGAAACATCTATGCGACAGGGAGTGCAACCTTAGTGCAACTTCATTGGTGGGTACCCCTGCTCAGACGGCCGCCACCTACGACAAGTGCTACAACAATTGCTACTGCTGCGCTGCCGTCCCCTGTGGTGGGCCATCGTGCTCAACCTCAAACAGTGCATGCTCCAAAACCTCGAACAGTGTGTGTTCCACCAAGACATGCTCCTATACTGTGCCGTACTACTGGTATAATTGCACTTGTTATCCTGCTCCTGTTCCCATGCCTTAAATGCTGCTTGTGATGGCTGTAACTGTTAAATTATATATAATTGTGAAAGCTTGCTTAGGTCCTCTTGTAAAGGCAGCGTGCTTCATTTCAACTGGGAAACATACATGGTTCTCGTCCAACAAAGAACTACACACAAGAGGGTGGGTGGGCGGGGAAATTGAACTAGAGAAACTAGAAATGAAGAACGTGGGTGAGGCCGAATGGCCTCACGTCACGTCCCTCTTTTGTAGACAAAAGAGATTGAGTAGCGCTTCGTCGCTGCCTTTGCTGCGTTGGCCCTCGCTACACTCTCACTCACAATACACATTTTTAGAAAGTGTTACACACTTTCAAAAAATTACATATTGTGAAAGCTTGCTTAGGTCCTCTTGTAAAGGCAGCGTGCTTCATTTCATCTCGGTCTTCTGAGACATGTGCAGAAGGGTTGGCGGTGGCGTTCAATAGATAGCTGGTGCTGATTGGGCGTGGGAGCAGTGGCTGCGTCTTGGAGTTGCATGGAGGCTTGAAGGAGTTGGTCATGCGCGATGGCAACGATGGCAGCTGCTGAGGCAGCGACGGTGGCGGCTGCTGCGATGGCGGAGGAGACACTGGGGCAGAAATAGGCGGCGAGAACTGCGCTGCGGGGCCACCATAGTCAGCCGACTCCTCAACCGAGATAACCGATGGGAGGGGAGTGACGTGAGACACACCAGACGGAGCAGGATGGGGAGAGAGAGGAGTAGGAGCTACCAGGGGAGTGGGAACCAGAAACAGGGGCGGAGAAACCGGGAGACCTCGGTGGGAAAGTGAGGGTAGAAGGAGACAGACTCGTCGAAAGTGACGTCACGAGAGTGAAAGAAGCGGTGAGAGTGACAGACTTGTCCATGCAAGAGGCACGAATGTGAGCAAAGCAGCCCCAGACGTGGAACGCGGATGCGTCACCAGGTAGCCCAGTCCAGATAAGGGTCGACGAAACATGCGGCCGCTGGGAGTGCAGCCACAGGTTAAGCTCGTGAACGGCGTAGCAAACAACGAACGGCCACAGAAAATTGGGTGCACCGGCATGGAGGTACAAGCCACCTCCATGACCAAACCGATGCGTCGCTCAGCGACCCCATTCTGTTGTGGGGAGTCCGGCAGGGTGAACGTATGGGTGATGCCCTCTGCACGACAGATTTGACCCAGCCGACTAGAGGCAAACTCGCCGCCATGGTCAAAGTGGAGACACAGCACGGGGAGACTGTGGTGGACACGCGCAGCTACAACCTACGGGATAAGAACGTCAGGCACGTCGGCCTTCCAATCCAGGGGAAACACCGTGGTGTAGCGCATGTAGTCCTCGACAAGTATTAGAAAGTAGCGCTCGCGGCGCGGCCTGGGGACGGGGGCTGGGCCCCTGATGTCCAGGTGCAGAGTCTGGAGTGGCGCGGTGGCAAGGTGAAGCGAGGAGGAGTGAGGAGCACGTCGCAGCCGGCCCTCAAAGCAAGACGTGCTTGGTGGCGCAGGCGAGGGAGGGAGGGCAGGGAGTGACACAAGGAGACCTAGGACAAGACCGTGCTGGGACATGTGACGCAGACGAGGGAGTGCGGGGTGACCTAGACGGTGGTGCCACAGAAGTGACGGGTGAGTGAACGACCGACACGAGCAAGCCGCTACAACTTGGGAAGGCGTAGGCACCTGGGAGGACGCCCTCACCAAGGGGGACTCGGTGTCGAGCGTAAAAAGGCCAGACACTGGGTGCCGGGGGAACGTGGTGAGGGGGGCGCCTGTGACGGCGTCGGTACAGACTGCGTACCGCTCGCGTCCACGGAACGTAGTGGTGACGCCGAAGTCTTGAAGTTAGTCGACACCAACTAGGTTCCTGGAGAATGAGGGATGTGCAAGCCTGAGAGCGAGCCGGAGGGAAACGCCGGACAGGGAAGGGTAGTGGAGCTACGGGCAACTACTGGACCCAAGGAGGGGTCAGCAAGGGTGACAGCAGCAGGGGCGGCAAGCGGCGTGTGCGCAGTGTGGTCACAGAAGAAGCAGGTAGACGCGCCAGAGTTAAGCGTGAATTAGAGTGACGCAGTAGCGGCAGCCGGCGGAGAGGCTAGCGTGGAACCTAGGCTAAACAAGGCAGAGGGTCCTATGCCTGATGCAGCAAGGGAGCCTAGACTACACATAGGGGGCACACCTGCACTAGGCAACATAGGGGAATAAGATCCGGCCACACTAGACGCATCAGCGTACATGACATGCAAAGCAACGCAAATCTGATCTGTATGCATCTCAAAGAAAGGCACACTGCAGCACACCAGACTGGGCCAGTCGAGGAGGTCTGGCGCAGGACTGAAGCGGAGATGGAAGAGGTCGTCGAGGCGGTAGAAGCAGCGGGCGGTAGAAGCAGTGAGCGACAGTGTGAGTGGGACGACCATAGACGGTGCCGCAGAAGGGGCCGGTCTGGAGCCGGCACTGGCAATCCACAGCGCTGAAGCTGCCACCCGACGCCGAACTGCGAGGGCCGCCACCGCGGCCACCACCACCAGAGGCACCGGGCCACCCTGGCGGGAGGTGGCCCCACTGCTGCTGCAACTGTTGCTGCTGCTGCTGCGGCTGCAGGTGCTGCTGCTGCTGAGCCTGCTGCTACTGCTGCTCCTTTGAACCAGCCTTGGTCCCCTCGTCTAAGCCACCGCCCTCGCCTCCACCTCCACCACCTCCACCACCCTTTCCTCCGCCACGCCCCCCCTTGGAGCAGCGGCCCCTACCTTGACGCGGCTGCGCCATCTCCGCAGCAGCGGTCTCAGTGGCAGGGGCTGTCTCAGCGACAGCGGCCAACACATCAGCGTAAGTACATTGGGAGGGAGCACAGCCCTGAAAGATAGGGACCGCCGCAGTACCGCTAGACTGAGCGATAGTGCGCTGGCGGGTCTCTATCTCGGACAGGGTGGTGACAAAGGTGGTAAGGGTGAGGTCACCAGGGTGCTGACTAAGGAAGTGGTCGCGGGCAATGGCTAAGCGGTCCGGAAGGCGCATGGCAATGAGGTAAAGGGTAGCGCAAAGCGGTGTCGGGAAGGCAGTGAGCTGAGCCTCAGTGCTAGCAGCATGGTAGCAAGCCTCAAGTGCATGGAGGTGAGTGGCTAGGTCAGTAGGAGTGGGGAAGGCCGCGAGATCAGGGAACTTCATGGGGAGGATCAGGCGGCCAGCAGAGGCGATAGCGGGTGTGGAGTAGCGCGCAAATACGGCCTCTAAGTATTCCTTGGCGTTCGCTATAGTGGTAAAGCGGGGAGGCTCAGACAGGGGGAGGGCATGACTAATGGCAAGCTGCGCTACGGCATCACGCGACTCTCAGACAGCGCGAGTCGGCGCAGTAGCGGAAAAGGCCTCACGCTCAGCAGTGGTGGGGGCATCATGGAGGGCAGCATACGTGGGGGGGCGGGGAAGCAAGCCATCGACATGACCAGCCAGGGAGTAACCGTCCTGGCGCTGACCTGTCAGGTGACAGTGAAGGTCGACAAGCCAGGCGTCGAAGTCGATTGCCCGCCCCTCCGCGTCCAGGCGGAGCACAGCGTCCGCCATCGCATGACCTCAGCTGCACGGCGGCACGGCGACACGGCGGCACAGCGGCACAGCGTCACTGCTACACGGCGGCACGACGACACGGCGGCACGGCAGCACGGCGGCACGGCAGCACGGCTCCACGGCAAGGCGGTGCCACGGCGACACGGTGTCACGGTGACATGGCGGCATGGCAAAACGGCTACTCGGCGGCACGGCATCACGGCACAGCAGCACAGCGGCACCGCAGGACGTTGGGGCTAGCAGGAACGGGGGCAGACTCGAACAAGGGCTGGAGCGGAAGGGGTGGCGAGCGAGCATAGGCCGGCGAGCTAGGGATGGCAAGTAAGGGGCGTAAGGGGCCAGCAGGGTGCAAAGGGCTAGCGGGGCGCGACGGGGCCAGCGGGGCGCGAACGGGGCCAGCGGGGCGCACGGGGCCAGTCGGGCACACGGGGCTAGCAGGGCGCATGGGAGGTGCACGGGGCATGCAGGGTGCAAGCAAGGCCAGCGGGGCGCACGGGGCTAGCGGGGCGCGACTGGGCTGGTGGGGCGTACGGGGCTAGCGGGGGTCGACGGGGCCAGCGGGGCGTACGGGGGCCAGCGGGGCGCACGGGGCTAGCAGGGCTCGACGGGTCCAGCGCGGCGCGAATGGGGCCAGCGGGGCGGACGGGACCAGCGGGGCTCGACGGGGCCAGCGGGGCGCACGGGACCAGCGAGGAGCACGGGGCTAGCGGGGCGCGTCAGGGCCAGCGGGGCTTGATGGAGCCAGCGGGGCGCGAACGGGGCCAGCGGGGCGTACGGGGCCAGCGGGGCGCGAACAGGGCCAGCAGGGCGTACGGGGCCATCGGGGCGCATGGGGCTTGCGGGGCTCGATGGGCCAGCGCGGCGCGAACGGGGCCAGTGGGGCGGGCGGGACCAGCGGGGAGCATGGGGCTAGCGGGGCGCGACAGGGTCAGCAGGGCGCTAAGGGGCCAGCGAGGCGCTAAGGGGCCAGCGAGGCGCTAAGGGGCCAGCGGCAACGGGCAGCTACGGGCGGCTAGGAACTAGGGGCGGAAGCGTGGGTGGGCGGGATCCTAGCCAAGCGTGATACCATCTTAGTGTAGAAAGAAGTAACTAGAATGACGTGATACAAGGGAATATACCTAAGGGGTTGTACTCTATATGGGCATGCACCTAACTAGACTAAAACATATACAACTGATATGTTTGACAACAAGTACTAGACAAAGTGGCCGTGGCCGTGGAATTGCGATTTTTCCTTATCGAACATATAGTTTAGTCTACACATATCTAGGTAGTTTAGATATGTTTGTTATAGCCTAGCTAGGTCAGCTCTTAGAGGGGACAATATTCTTGTACTTGTATCTCCCCTCCCCTCTTCCTAGTCATACATGGTATTGAGCTAGGTTTGATTTTTTCCGCTGTTACTTACGCTTCCGCCGTTACTGTAAGATTTTTTTTTTCTGCACATGTCTCGCTCGCTCAATTTTGCGCACCTCCCCCTCTCTAATTTTGCGCCCCGTAGTCTCGAGACTCCCCCCC